GATCCCTATTGCTAACAAAAAAGTTAAAATTCCATATTGGAGGATTAAATATACAACATGCATTTATGATGTATTAGTATATCCCGATGGAGAGAGAGAGAGAGAGAGAGAGAGAGAGAGAGAGAGAGAGAGAGAGAATTCGCTGTTTGTTATATAATTCGGACGGCGGAAAAAAGACCGCTGCTGGTAACAAGCGATTTTGATCTAAGTCTAAGCGTTTGCCGCTAACTATTTTGACAGCCGCGTTGCTTACTGCAAACTAACTTTGACAAATAGATCCTTGAGAACGAGGCCACGGTGCACTGAGCATTCGAAAAAGATCGAGTGGAAATAGAGGAAGCACATCGTAAACGTGGCGCCGGATACTTTATACTTACCCTCTTATATTCCGCGGAAAGGGGTTGCTGCCCCGTGTACAGTCTATAACAGAAATTTCAGTATTATTACTGGATATCCGGACTGGATATCGGTGGCTCCGATCGTAGTGGCGCAGGCCAGGCGAGCCGTCTTCCGCTTTGTTCGCGAGCCATGCACTCCCAATATACTCCATATCCGCCGTTCTGGTTTCTCGGTTTTTTTTTTTCACATTTTTCCCCTCGTAACGTAACGCAAACGGTACGAATGATACGAGCGATCCAACGTGAAAGAACAGGCAAAAAGAATTATAAAAGAGCTAACAGTGTTCCTCTAAAGAATACAATTTAATCACAATTTTAATAATTTTATGGATAACGAACGATTATCGTGGCTCCAGTTTTCTAGGCAAGTTAACTCGACAAGAATCATCTCATCGAAATAGAATCCATTGTACCTTTCGCTCAACTGTTTTCCGCAATTTTCCCATGCTTACTCTCGGTTATATACTCTTACTGAAACCCCGCCGCGCATTCTATCTTCTATGCCCCGGCGCCGTCCTTCCTTTTTGACGTTCACCCGACTTCTTGTTACTGGTAAAACATGCATACATTTCCGACGGTTTTAAACTAGCGGCTGGCCGGCGTTCCGCCGGACGGATATTTCTGAATTATGAACGGGCCGTCGTTGAATCATGTATACAGACTCATGTATATGCCGGACGAGGATCTTAATGCGAGTACGATTGTTTTATATTTATCTCGCACGGACAGATGCACCGACAGATTCTCATCTGCGTCCTGCTCCATTAACTCCACCTTCGCCTTTTTGGCGCTTTGGCACTTACATTACTTAAATAATAAATTATTCCTATCTATTTTTTAGTTCTATTTCCTTTATTAGTTTTTTTTTTAAAACTTATATAATTAAATGGGGCAGAAAATTTACCCAACGTATAACCTTACATTATTATGATTATTTATTTTCTGTCTGTAGCTGAATAAAGTCGTACATACGAAACAGAGATCGATCAAATTATCACAGGTCTTGTCATAAAATTCCAGATGATTTATTTAACGGAAAAATGATTGTGTTTTGAAATTTTATGAGCTACAACAGCAATTCGCGAATTAATAGAAAACGCACGTACAAGCAATTTGAATTTTGCTATTTTTTAATAAGTTTTTTATAAAGCGCAATAGCTATATTTACACCTGATACGTGTTTCACATTATTTATAACAAACGGCCGTATATATATATAAAGTTGTAAAAATCGTGCTTGATTAAAAGGCGGTAACCATGTCCTACTTCCACCTGCATTTACGACGCGTAAACGGCGCAGTAAATTTTTCCACAGGCATAAATTTAGAATTTTGCAGAGTAGCAGTGCTCGCATTATGCGGCTCATATATCGTCCAATTTGAATGAGCTCGCTGATACTTGCTCGTCTACCTCGTTGCAATTTTAAAGAGCGACTTGCTCGTTTCCACGCGACTGTACATTACTCGGCTTAATCTAATGAACACAATTAATACGACGTTAAAGCATACCAAGGTTTCCTCACCGCTGTAGACAACTCCACCAGGTAATGTACACTTCGTGAAAAATACATTGTTAGGTACACAAGAAGCAATGATAAACCTTTGAAAAATAATATTTTCCTGTTTTTAACTTCAATCTGTGTCGAGATGTAAATCATTTCATTTCTGCATTGTTAAATTCGTAATATCAAATTATATCCAATTTTTTACTTTTAATTACATAGGTCGCCACTGTTCCTATCCAATATGTCGTTAATTTTATTAAAATAATGAAGTTAAACAATTTAATTCAACAAAATATATTAAATTTGAGTTAAACTTATATTTAATAAACGTATACTTTAACATGAATGCCGTTTACTTTTAAATTAACTCAGAAACTAATACAGAAATAAATTAATTTACATTTTGGTGCAAATACGGAAGTTAAACATAATGTCATTTGACTCAAGGAATTGGAATTGTCATTGCTCTCTTGATGTCTAACAGTGTGTTAATTTCAATAATCATATTAATGCACGCACTTAATAAATAATGAATTAAATTTGACTAAAATTTAATTCTATTTTCTTGAATTAAATTGTTTAAGTCCATTGTTTTAGTGAAATTAATTACGATATATTAGAAATGAATAGAAGCAGTGGCAACCTAATGAAATAACTAAAAATAACTTTTAAGCTTTAAATTGTAAATTTAACTGTATAAAAAGATAGACTACATATTTCTCATAATTCTCTTGATACGTAAAAATGCGTGTTTAATACAGAAACACTTTGTACACTCCGAGCTCACGTAAGCAATAAAAACGCAAAATATTAGCAGTTACGAAACATGACAGTAACAACGATGCGCAAACGTTTTTTCGTTGTGCAATTAAACGCGCGATAATAAGTGCCGCTTGATTATCACGCCGGAAACGTGACTTTTTGGATTTTCCAAACTGCTACCGGAACTAATGGAGCATCAGCGTGTGTACGTATTAGTTTGAGTAATGAAGCAGAAAAGCAATAGAGAGAGAGAGAGAGAGAGAGAGAGAGAGAGGAAAAAAGAAAGAGGAAAAAAGAGAGAAGGATAGTGAAGATAAAGAGAGAGGAAAGGGAAACGGAGGGTAACGAGGGTTAAAGTGCGAGTCAATTATGAAACGCTTCTCTCCATCGAGGGAAATTGCGCCCTATTAAGGAAAGTACTACGTGTCCGAGTGAAATTTTCGGCCTGCCACACCGCCATTGCAGTATGGATAAAAAACAAGCCGGGGAGGAGAAGGGGGTGCGCAATGGCTACGGAATAAATCGCCAGCTCGCACGCAGAGGGACAAAGCGATACCTTGACGGTATTAATAAAATTATTATCCCCGGGCCAGATAAATGGATCACGTGAGGGCGAATACTGCGAGAGATTTATCGCGCCCTTTTCAAGGAAGGGAGGAGAAAGGGAGAAGGGGGACATCCCTACGTATTGTACCTATGTTGTTGCCGTTGGGCACAATAAGAACACGTCTGTCTCCGGTGCTCGGCGCGACGTGATTTCGTCTTTGCTTCATTACCGAGACTTCATTACTGTAATAGCGAAACAGTATTTCGTCCTCTCGGTATGACAAGATTCTACTCGCGCTATTCGGACTTTATTTGATTATCACACAATGGCTTTTCTCTCGCGCTCCGGCGCACCTGATGCAAGCAGACTTTCACGGAAAGTAGTGCGAGAATGGCGCCGGCGCCAGTCCCCGAAAGTTGTTTCCTTCAACGGAGAACCGTGATTTACATATGAACGCGAGAGACGCATACGGCCAAAAGCGCGCAGGCATATAAATACATTTTACCGTTCACGCGTGCCGTGTGTGTGCCCTAAAAATTTCGCTCGTATTGTCGCCCGCCGATGCTCCCGCGGAATATTTCATCCCGCGCGGCGTTGACGGTCGCGCGTATTCGGAAGTTCGCCGTTACCTTTTCCCCGTCCGAAACTTCCGCGCGCTTTATACGAAATTGATGAACTAAGGAACAAGTATTTTATATACCGGAGCGGGCGTGCGGGGTGCTCTATGCTACACGCGGTGGTATCGTAGACTACATGCGGAGATATACGACCGCCTCGAGAGCACGTATCCGCAAGTTTTTGTTCGTTAACCGGAAGCCCCCGAGTTTCGCGAGGCGCACGGCCAGAGAACGGATAATGATATGCGCCGAGGAAAGATACGGCGTAGCTTGTAAAGCTTGTAAAGCGTATAAATGAGAGCGCTAAATTTGTCATCGCCGTGTTCTCGCGAACGCTTTTCAGGCCTCTGCGGTATCAAAAACTTATTTTATCTTATATATTTATAAATATACAACTCAAACAGAACGATAAGTCACAATAACGTCGAAGTGACATTAAAATAGCTCGGAAATGAAAAATAACTTTTAATGATTATTTTAGAATTATTTTGATATCATATAATGACTTGATGCTCTGCTTAGGAAAAGTGTCTTGAAATACACTATTAGATATCAAAGGAATAATGGTAACCTAATTCTCCTTGAATTAAATAATATTTATTTTCAACTTCCATCTGTGTCAACATGTAAAGCAATCCATTTCTGTGATTGATTTCAAAGTAAACATCATCCATATGATGAATGTATGTAGGCTTAGTAAATAATAAAATAAATTTGAGTCAAATTTAATACATTTTCTTCAGTTATATTGTTTAACTACTGAATTTTTAATTATTACATTATTAATAATCGATAGTTTTTTTTATATAATATATAGTACACCAAAGGTGCACAAGTTTTACACCTTCGATACACCATAACTCAAAAACCATCCATTATTGAGCTTTGTGCCTATTCTATAATATCTTTTGTTCATCACATTATAAGCTACATCATAAAGTGAAGACTATCTCATTTCACACAATTTTCCATATAATTTTCTTTTATCCCCTATTAAAGTTGTGACACTTTTCCATATAAGCAATGTGTCGATAAATGTGTCGTTTTTTTCATAATATATTGATCTTTAGGATCAATTTTCTTTTATTATCTTAAAAATACTAATTCTGAACTGTGTCACTTTTCTATTAGCGCAGCGATATATTATATATCTGCACATTTCACGAGCAACCGTTACTTATTTGCGATTTCCACAATTGTGGAGAAATTCCGAAAGTCATATCTCGGTATTTGAGAAATTTCTATCTCACATTTCACACAGCCATTTCGCGCGCAAAATACGCTCTACGTCTCTTTCGATAGCGCTTGGGACGTCACTTATTTGCACCGCAATGCAACCCGTCCTGGGAAGAAAATTAACCTTTGGACGAAATCGATTAGCTCGACCGATAGAACGGCTTTAAAAGTAATTTTGAATTATCCACCGGTACGCTTCACGCGCGGTCGAATGACGCGAAGAGAACTTCAGTCATCGAGTTGAAGCTTTAGGATCTTTTTCAGAAAGGAAAAACTGCATCGGTTCGTAAAAGCTGCTCGGAACCTCGGCCCTTTCCAATGACACACAAGTCGTCCTGCTTCGGCAAGTAGCAAAGTGTGATAACACCATGAAACTTTTACGGGTAAATAAAGACCAATACACGAAACAACGCGGCCATCGTAAAATTTTTACGGGCCGGAAGATTCCCGTTTCTTTCGTTTTTTTTTTCCTTCATGAACTCTCCTAGTCGGAGAAATATCTCAACGTAATTCCAGTATTCCGAGAAGCTGGAAGCTTCGCAATCGCGCGTTGTTACACTCCTTTTATTGTTCTGTATTTTTCGTTCAATAAATAGTTTTACGGCGCGGACATTATTAGACTTTATCAACAAGTCCCGATTTCGTTCGATCATTGCCGCAACAATATACCTCATTGGTTACGTGAAGAATATATAAAAAAATGTATAGAAGTTTATAGGACATTTCGAAAGAATGTCTTCAAAAATGCCATATAAACCTCTATGCATTTTTACTTATATACGGAAAAGTATCTAAAAATTTAACTAAATACTTCAAATAGATATGAAAAATTTTGTTGAGTGACCATCAAAGTAATTATGTAGAATGCTTGAGTTAACTGCTAGAAAACTTTTTACAGTATCGCTCATCATGTTCGAATTTCGTACATAATTTTAATGATCCAAAATTATTTTCAGATCTACACGAATTTTACATTAACAAAATCTTCTTTCTCTGTAGCAATATATGTATATTTTATATATATATATATATATATACATCGATATAATATTATATTACATCTAAGATTCTTATTATAACATTTAATAGTTTTAATACTTCCAAATTATTATTGATAAAATATCTTACATATATTGGCGTCATACTAATTCATCCAGACATTAGATCGAGCTGAATAATGTATAATCTGATGAGAACATCTTATTATACATAGTATAAATACATATAATTTCTTCTCTTAGATTGAGAACTCTGGAATTATGTGCACGGGTAGAAATTTTCGCAACGTCAAGGTTGGTTTCCAAGTTACTTCCATGAAGTTCTCCCGAAGTTTAATGCAAACCTCACAAAACACCTCATATCACTGTTCCGTATCGTGGGATTTAATATCGAAAATCAAAGGATTAAGTTAAACCAAAGAAATAAGTAAATAAAGGAGAGCTTGCTTTTTAATTAGTTGAGAAAATTCGCCAAACTTTCAGGGAGGAGGGAGGGGCAAAACGTCCCCGTATTACTCGTTTGTATCACGCAAATACGGGCTCGAAGAGATCGTATAATAAGTTAGTCGAGGCACTATAGGATTTCGATCGTTCCCGACGAAGTCTGGACACAAAGGCGGCATTCTCGGACAAGAAAGCGGCAGTGTATACAAGACAGGAAGAGAGAGAGAGAGAGAGAGAGAAGGCGGTGAAGGACTTGCAGCGAGCTTTCGGAGAAAGGGGTGAAATAAGGGCGTGCGAATTGCGGCCCCAGAACGCTCTCTCCCCGAACACACAATAAAACCCCATCGATTTTCACTTAGAGAAAACTCGGGCGCTCACTTTTACATTCATTCGAGTTATCTTGGTTTGTCATTCGGGAAAGAAGCCAATGCATCGACGAGAGCGCGCGACGGAGAAAAACTGCATTTCCGTCGTGATTTTCACCACTCGCTACCATCCCGGGTATCCACTCTTGCATTGGTCTTCATCCCTTAACCTAAAGGACGGCATTGCTCATTGGCGCCCTTATCGAGCGCCTTATCTCTGTGTTATTTATTATTGTCGGTCGCGGAGAGTACATTAAATTTCCATTACCTTCCTTAAACACGAGCGGGGCGAGAATTCGATTCGTTATTTATGCCTTCCTCATTTTTGGATAGTGAACGCGTATCCTGCGTACATAGTTTCCTCCTTGATACATGTTAATGCACTCTAAAAATCGACATTACTGTCTGCTGCAAATAATACAGTTTTACAAAAAATTGTTTTTTTCCCTCCGAAGTACTTTAGTACTAAAGATTGGGTAAGTTACGTTGTAAAAATAACTAATTATAGTTACAGATTTTCTTCCAAAAAGTATTTATATAGTTATCATTGCAAATTACTGATTCTAAAAATACGTAACGCGTTGCAGTTGAAAAATAATAAACTGTTATTTGTCAGTTACTCTTTTGTTTTGTAATTTTTTGCATTGCTATTTTAAATATGTACATTCGGGCTGTGTAGCATTTCGAAGAGAATTTGGTGTCAATTGTGTAATACATCGTTTTTTTTTTTTACAAAGATATATTCTTAGCTTGATTTAATTTTCGTATCCGTACTTTGCCTATACATCTCTAAATACATAATCTTTATTAAAATCTTTCATGAAACTTTTTGTAATAATCGGCGTAACGTTCGCGTGCACACTTACATATATCACAGGAGCTGAAATAGCGATATTTGTAGCTATTGTTTGTTGGAGAAGCAGCGAAAGCGGAACCGGCGCGCAACTGGAATCTCGCTTGCCAATCAATGGCGCTCACAATCAATATGATTGGTCATGTGGTGGAGATAAAATTGAGCACATTCATCAAGCCTTAGTCAGACTGATGGCCGTAAACATGTTCCGGTTTTGTGACAAGTCTGGGTATCAAACAATTTATGCAGCCGTCGAACGTGAGCGGAATTGAACGGTACCGACGCGGCCTGTCAAAGATCTCATTCGGCTTATGTTAAAATAAAAATGGAACTTAATCTCCCCGACGCGTCAGGTAGAAATTTATCGTCTGTTTTGTTACGAGCGCTTAACTGACATTGTCGTTGCGGGCGAAACGTTACAATTTCATCCGCATTTAACGGAATTTTATGCCGGATATATAAATATTATACAAATATAATAAATATGTATACAGCTCGGTTGAAAGTTTAAATTGTATCCCTTTTATATAATTTATTTTGAAATTTTATCAACACCGCGTACAATTTTATCCGTATCCACGTAACGGGATCCTTTTTTCGAGATTAAAGGGACTCATTAAATAATATCAGTTCTCTGTGACGCAGTTTGTAATTGTGCAAACGTGCAGGTGAGTTATTAAGCTTTGAATTACGAAGTTAATGAACAGATGATTATTAAAACTGTCGCTATCTGCGATGTGTTCCGCCAAGCACACAGCTCGCCCGGATAGTTAATGAAATTATTTGGGAGGTATTCCGGATTATCTGTTTCGGGCTCACTGAGCGCTTAGTGCTACATGCGTACGACACCTCGTATATATACAAAGAATAGCGTCCGCGCGATCTGCGGTATTTTGCGTAATTACAACGCATTGTATCGAATAAGCATTCCAAATTAACGCGCATCTATGGCAAACGATGCTTTTGACGATTTAGGGCAACCTCACAACCAAACTCCGACTAACTTAATCATCAGTATATAATAATTTTAGTATACAATACAAACAAAGTTATTAATTTAATCAATAAAGTTATATGTTTATTTCATATATCGAAGAGATAAAAATTAAACATTAATCCTAGAATACTATTGATACGTAAATTGTGCGTATAAATAAATGTAAATATTCTGCAAGAAATCTTTCATAAAAATACAAAATTCATTATAAAATTGTTTTTATTAATTTTACATTATTATCAAGTTTCTTTCTAAGTCAATAAAGATTACTTGTGTTTATAAAAATTTAAATTATAAATAATTCGTCAATCAAAATGTTAAATGTATGATGAAAAAACTTATGTTACACTAATGAAGAGCAGCTTATTTCCTTGTACGTATCGATAGCAAACTGATCATTCAATAACATTCTAGAGTTAAGAACAACGAGCTGTATATTACAGATTTTGTCTTGAGCGATTTTGTGCTGGTCGACTTATTCGCCGATTAAATTAATCAAAGTTTAATTGAAATCGCCCTTAACAAAACGGGATATAATCAATTTTGTCGAAGCGGTACAAATTGCATTTCGTATAAAACTTTAAGTAAAAGAGTATTACTATGCCCCGTTGTATTCGCGCTCGGGTCGCTCCACCTAATTTTGAAGCCATAAGTATAAACAACTTCGTTTACGCTCTCATGTTGAAATTTGTTAATGTATCGCTCATTAGGCCGTAATGAAGAGTAAATAGAGTTTGCTCTCCCTTGTAGTCGGAGGACAAAAAAGGACCGTAACAGAATCAGCGAGGCATGCAAGCTGTGATGCATCGAGCGCATGTAGCGAAAAAGCGGGCGGGGGTGAAAGTTAAGTTTGTTCCACTTTTTTTTTTTATCGTGTTGCCGCGCAACAAAGTCTACCTCACCGGAAGCTCTGATGGCGATAAATTCAATAATGTTAGAATATTTTTGATTATTTAGATTAGAACCATCCGGTCTCGGCTGCCTCGAGGGTATCCGGTGGTATTATTTTTCCCCAAGAACCAGAATAAAATATACTTTCTTTAACACAGTTATGCAAATGAGCGCCGTCAAATGTACCCTTCTGTGAAAACTACGAATCGATATCGGACTCCAACATCGCATGAATATAGACAAAGTTATGTTATTAGATATCTTATTCCACCTTATAGATATCTTTAGATTGCATTCGTATATGGAATGCTTTACAAATTATGCGTACGTTATTACCTATCCTATGTATAAACGTACGAAGGAAGGAGGGACAATTATTTTTATAATTTATAATTGTTTTTCCTTGTCACAGATCTTTAGAGGGGCCTCCCTCCTCTTTAAATTTTAAGGAGAAATAACTGCAACGGGTATTTCGCGCATTTATGGATAGATTCTGTAACAGTTTTGTCAGGATCCGCGCGTGTCGCGTGTCACGACGAAACGCTAACGTAATATCGTCCAGCTGGTTCCTCGCTCTTCTCTTTTTTGTAAAATATTCAAGTAGAACATAGGTTGCAGGGAAACAAGCAGGGTGGGTAGCGGCGTAAAGTTTACTGTATACAGAGAGAAAAAAATAGAGGGTCAGGAACGTGGATGAGAGGAACATGGGCGGTTCTGGAACGATCGTAAGAGGCTATCATAAGGGGGGAAATGAATTTGAAATTTTTTTCTTGTCGTAAGTTCCTTCATTTTCTCCTTCGTTCGCGAGCTCATCCTCACGCAGTCCACGTTCAGGCGATATTTTGCACAACTTTCAGCCAATATAACAAAAGCTTGTATCAATATTGCTGCAACATTTATAATGGCTGCCCTCGGTAGAAGAAAAGCAGTTTTCAATATATAAGAATTTAAAATCATATTAAAGAATTTTACAATTGCAAAGTTGCTTTTTCTGTTAAACTGCGCAGTCAATATTACTGCAATATTACTGGAATGCTCTGTGCTGTATAAGAAATGTTGTTTATCTTTTTGTAAAAATCGCGTCTTCCGGGGCTTTCCTTTTTCGTCGGTTTTTTCTTATGAAAACCTCGTAATCCCTTGATATTCTTTCAAGTATACTTTTGATTTAGGAATTTGTTAATTACAACATCGTTAACGATAACAATGAGAAGCAGGTTTCACGTCGTAAGACATCTACTGTGTAATTCTATAATCGTTCTATTGTCCCGTTCCCATTGTATCTCTGTCTCCTTGGAGATATGCTCGGCCAATTAGGCTTGTAATTAATTATGTTGATAATTACTGATTGCGTACATATCACGCAACTGTGTACATAGATATCACAGTGGACGCGTGGGATATCGTTGCAATTTTGAAAGCCTGCGATCGCTATTTCGGGAACGTAATCAACGAGCTCGTAAAAACCACCGAGCCGTTTAAATGGAAGTATATCACTTTTACAATCGATCGGATGTACGCGAAGAAAATACAGATATATGGAAAACAATTCTTCACGCGTTTAGGTTTGACGTGCGCGTCGAGTGTTTTCCATCATGCCGATTAACTTGTTCGTGTTCTACATGTCAGGTTGACCCGGTTGACCGCGTTCGTTCTCGGCAGCCGTCTACTTCATTAAATTAGTTCGAGTGAATGTGACAAATGTGACACGGACAATGTTAATTGGCCCATAAGCGATATGCACAAAGGCCACATCAAGGGGCTATTATTACCGAAACGTTAGTTTGGATTTGAATCGGCACATTATCGGCTTCGTCGAGCGTTTCCGATATTCTGCTTTCGGTATTAAATACAGATCACGTGAGAATAATCGAAAAGTTATGCACAAT